CGTTCGTTTGTTTTCTTCATGGACTCGTTCTTCTTCCTTGCGGGATCTCAGGCAAGATGATCATACCCTCGAAATCACTTCTATCTTTGCTTGCTAGTTGCTCGCTCTTTTGCTATGCCTATGCTGCGATACCTACCACTTGCTTATCATGCCTCCCATATTGTTGAACCAAGCCTCTAACCCACCTTGTCCTAGCAAACCGTTGTTTGGCTATGTTACCGCTTTGCTCAGCCCCTCTTATAGCATTGTTAGTTGCAGGTGAAGATTGAGCTTGTTCCATGTTTGGAACATGGATATTTTGTTGGGATATCACAATATCTCTTATTTTAATTAATGCATCTATATACTTGGTAAAGGGTGGAAGGCTCGGCCTTATGCCTGGTGTTTTGTTCCACTCTTGCCGCCCTAGTTTCCGTCATATCGGTGTTATGTTCCCGGATTTTGCGTTCCTTACGCGGTTGGGTTATAATGGGAACCCCTTGACAGTTCGCCTTGAATAAAACTCCTCCAGCAAGGCCCAACATTGGTTTTACCATTTGCCACCTAGCCTTTTCTTTCCCTTGGGTTCTGCAGACTCAAGGGTCATCTTTATTTAAACCCCCGGGCCAGTGCTCCTCTGAGTGTTGGTCCAACCCAGAGCACCGTGCAGGGCCATCCCTTGGCAACTTGGGTTACGTCGGCTCCTGTACGCTTAGCTTATCCGGTGTGCCCTGAGAACGAGATATGTGCAGCTCCTATCGGGATTTGTCGGCACAGTGGGTGGTCTTGCTGGACTTGTTTTATCATTGTCGAGGATGTCTTGAAGAACCAAGATACCGAGTCTGATCGGAACGTCTCGGGAGGAGGTTTATTCCTTCGTTGACCGTGAGAGCTTGTGATGGGCTAAGTTGGGACACCCCTGCAGGGATTTGAACTTTCGAAAGCCGTGCCCGCGGTTATAGGCAGATGGAAATTTGTTAATGTCCGGTTGTAGAAAACCTGAAGTTAACCTTAATTAAAATGCATCAACCGCGTGTGTAACCATGATGGTCTCTTTCCGGCGGAGTGCGGGAAGTGAACACGGAGTTGGAGTTATGCTTAACGTAGGTGGTTTTAGGATCACTTCTTGATCATACTTTTATCGACTGTGCTTTGCCTTCTCTTCTCGCTCTCATTTGCGTATGTTAGCCACCATATATGCTAGTCGCTTGCTGCAGCTCCACCTCTTACCTTTACCTTACCCATAAGCTTAAATAGTCTTGATCGCGAGGGTGCGAGATTGCTGAGTCCCCGTGACTCACAGATACTTCCAAACCCAACTTGCAGGTGCCGATGAGTCCGTGCAGATGACGCAACCAAGCTCAGGAGGAGCTCGATGAAGATCTTGTCCTTTGTGTTGTTTCATTCTAGTTGTCAGTTGTGGAGCCCAGTTGGGGTCGATCGGGGACCGTGTCGCATTTGGGGTTCTTCTTTTATTTTGGTTCCGTAGTCGGACCTTGATTGTATCTGGTTGATGTAATGCTTTATTCATGTAATTGTGTGAAGTGGCGATTGTAAGCCAACTATGTATCTCTTTCCCTTATGTATTACATGGGTTGTGTGAAGATTACCTCACTTGCGACATTGCTTTCAATGCGGTTATGCCTCTAAGTCGTGCTTCGGCACGTGGGAGATATAGCCGCATCGAAGGCGTTACACTTTGTCAGGTGTGTCAGATCTCCATAATGATATATATATATACTTAGTTACCTGTGTTATCTCTAATATGCTTAGTTTCCTATAGGTTAGCTTCATTTTACCTAAGTTGGCTCTAATATGCTAACTTAGAGCTTATATGCTTAGTTTCCTATAGGTTAGCTCCAAAATAACTTATGTTAGCACAAAATGATCAAGTTTACATAATAAGCTTATAGTCTTTTTCTTATTCTTCTTCTTTTCCAAAATGACATAGGTTAGCTTCATTTTACCTAAGTTGGCTCTAATATACTAACTTAGAGCTTATATGCTTAGTTTCCTATAGGTTAGCTCCAAAATAACTTATGTTAGCACAAAATGATCAAGTTTACATAATAAGCTTATAGTCTTCTTCTTATTCTTCTTCTTTTCCAAAATTCTTCTTCTTTTCCAAAATTCTTCTTATTCTTCTTCTAGTGTTCTTCTTCTTCTAGTATTCTTCTAGTCTTCTTCTTTTTCTTCTTCTAACTTCTTGTTTATCATTTTGCAGATTTGATTTAATTCACGGAAGCTTGCATGGATGGAGTGCTTCTTTTCTATTTGTGTTTTTATTTTGTATCAATGTGAAACTTTTGTGAATTGATGGATAACGGTGTTGGATGAACAATCTGAAACTTTTGTAATATGTAACGATGGAACTATGTGTTGGCTATGTATGTATATATGATGGAACTTGTGTGTTGGCTATGTATGTATATATAATGGAACTTGTGTGTTGGCTATGATTGTTATATGGATGCTTGTTGTATATATATATGTGTTGGATATCTCGTAGGTGAAATAGTGACCTGAGATTAAGAAGAAAAAAATTTAAAAAAATGTTACTAATGGCGCACTACCATGTGGTGCGCCATTAGTATAGCAGACACTAGTGGCGCACCATGGGCAAAACTAATGGCGCACTGCCTGGTGCGCCATTAGTAAAAAATTCTAGTGGCGTGATACTAATGGCGCATCGGTGGTGCGCCATTAGTAGGCAAAACCGGTGCGCCATTAGTAAGCCTTTTCCTAGTAGTGGCTGGATGTCAGAGGCAGGAGGTGGAGCGGCTTCGTCTTGCACAGAGCTTTGGTGGTGATGTCAAGTCATGCCTGACCGACAAGTGCTACGCTTTGTCATGCCTGGTCGGCAGGTGCTACGCACGACAGATCATCCAAGGACTTTAAGATGTGTCGGCTGGTGATACCTGGCAGCATGGCGCTGAGGTGTATCAGTGGCGACCGCGACGTGCTCAGCTGTTTGCGCGCAGGGAGGAGGTGTCGTTTGGCGCCGTGGTGGTGTCGACGATAGCTAGACCGAACAAGGTTGATGCATCAGTACAGCTCTAAAGATGGAGCAGTGGTAGTTGGCGGCGGCGGCATCTGAGTGCACGCCGGACCGGTGAGACCCATACCCGGTAGGCGTCCTGGATGGGTTCTCAGGTCTTAGATGTTAGGTTTGGCTGCTATGTCTGTTTGGTATTAGGCCCAGGCTATCTGCGCCCCTTCATCAGTTGGATAGAGGTGTTTAGACGGCGGCTTTAGTCTTACTGTTGTATTACTTTGTAAGGTCTTGTGAGAATAATTAATAAAGTGACCGTATGCATCGTCCATATGCAGAGGCCGGGGGTCATCCTCCTTTTCTAAAAAAAATACATGCTAACCATGTACATGCATGGCTGGCCAGATCCATCTAGTGCATGGAGCAGGCCTGAAAACGGTGGATTTGAGCGTTTCTAGTGATGCAACCAAAACAGTGTTTTAAGAAGCGTGCGATGCAAGCTCAACATGATTGCATACAAGCAAACAGTTCAACACGAAAAAAAGACTGCATCCAGCGGGTCTAGTTAGGTTGGATGCAGGCTACCAAAGGCATCCTAAGCTACTCTCTCGCGCTCGCCCATCTCGCTCAAGCCATGAAACATTTCAGCTCCGACGAGTATTTTCTCCTTCAATCTGTAGAGCAGCCTGGATTGCTTTGCCATTGAGGTTGAACCAAACAAGGAAAGTCCTCTACAACAATCTCCATGTCCAAGATAGCACTACACTATTCTCCTGTGATCTAGCTATCCATGTAGGACGCCTGTAGCTTCCTGGGAGATTCTTGCTCGTCCTTGTCCTTGCCTCTTGTATCTACTCCTACTACTTCCTACCCAAGTTCCAAAGCCACAAGGCTTTTGGCTTGCATGGATTGGCCAGCCCAGGTCGGTCTCTACCGTGAGCGGGAGCAGCTCAAGGAAAGTCTACGCATGCTTGGATGGAATCGGATCACATGATCACTGTTTCTCCGCTACTGCTTGCAGTTGCAGTGCCCGTACATGCCCCATCTCAACTTCTCAACGCTGTATGCATGCGTCGGTGCATGGCCTTCTTCTTCCTGTTGTTTCAGGAAAGAAAACCCTCCTTGGCTCCTTCAGTCATTGATTTGTTACTATCTCACGGCCGCAAGCTGTGACTTGGGCGGTGCGTGCGAGGTGTCCATCCATCTCCAGTTTGAGCGTGACGTGGCGGTCCACATCTATCAGTACGTACGCGCTTCACCGTCCGGCCACTGTAACGACTTCATTTTTCGTGATAGTGTGAGATATGCCTTGTGGTTAGGTTAGGCACGTTACGTGCTTCAAATGCTATACAATAATTCAACGAGTTCTCTCGCAAGAAAAAATTATACTAGTAGTTAAAGGAGCCGCGCGATGCTCGTTACTCGAAAGACACGGATGATCGATTAGTGGGCATCTTTTGACAATGACATGCATGTCTCTGTTGCTGCAGGCCGCTGTGGACATGTGGTACATATTCCATCGTCTCCTCGGCTGCCGGCCGCACTTGAGAGAGCCGCCAAGCCAACTGTTACCGGCCAACAACCCCCAAACGAATTGAAGAGAGGCGGGGCGGACCACGCCATTGCCGCACCTCCTCCCCCTCCTCCTTGGCTTCAACTCCACGCACGCACGCATGCATGCTTGCTTTCCAAACCAAGGGATAATTGGCCGCCCATCCATCTAAACATCGCCACCACACACCACATTATTCTCCAGGCACGCACAAGGATCGATCAGTGGAGGGGGTCCGTCGCCCTCTCACACCATGGCGAAACTTAGGTACTACTTCTGCTTCTTCCACTGCATGCATGGCCACGGCTGCACTGCCGAGCCGCCATTAATCTTTGCTTGCTGTGCTTCGCTAGCTCCAGTCAGTCCGTTTTTTTTCTATATAAACGTAATGCTGCTGCCTCGTCTCCCTGGACCAGCTGCAGGAGCCTGGTGCGCTGTTGTTTGGGCCCTCCACGGGAAGGGGAAGCCGGCGACGCCATGGACGGTGTTAAGCTCAAGGTCACCAGCAGATACGTAAGTGCCTCGTGCTTCCTGGCCATGTTTATAGGGTTGGCGCGTGCCGACAATAACATGCATGTTTCGTGTGTGCTGTGTATGTGCAGGTTATAATTAAAAATGACGTATTCGAGCTGACGCTGTCCAACCCCGACGGTATTGTAACTGGCGTGCGCTACAACGGTGTGGACAATCTTATGGAGATTCTTAACAAAGAAGACAACCGAGGGTACCAATCTTACTCTGCATCTATACTTTCTAGTTAGAGCTTCAGCTTATAGGTTATGCTATATCTGTCGATTTGTCTTGTACTACTATCCGAGGCGATGTGAGTTAAGCTATGCATCTTTTCATCTTCTGTCAGGTACTGGGACATTGTTTGGAATTCACCAGGACAGCGAACTGGAATATTTGATGTGTAAGAAGAGGAGCTCAACTTCATTCATTTACCCTCTTTTGTTTTTCTATTTTCTTCTCTTGTTTTGTTTTTTTGTTTCGGAAAGGAGGTTGAAAGTGAACGCTTGCACGCAGGATCAAAGGCACAGAGTTCCGCATCATACATCATGATGAAAACCAGGCTGAGGTCTCCTTCACCAGATCATGGGATCCTTCGCAGGAAGGGAAAGCTGTTCCGCTCATCATCGACAAGAGGTGACTGACTGATGAACAAGCATAAATTTGGAGCTGGGGAAAATCATGTTTAGCTGAGCAAGCATCTCTGTATGTACAAGTACAGGTTCATCGTGCTTCGCGGCTCCTCGGGATTCTACACCTACGGAATCTATGAGCACAAGGAAGGGTGGCCTGATTTTGGCATTGGGGAGACCAGAGTGGCCTTCAAACTTAGAAAAGACAAGTTCGTTCCCAACTTTAAGAAAGAAATTTTTGCTCTTCACTTAATTTTTTTCTTCCCACTGAAACTATGTGTTGGTGGACTTACTGCAGGTTCCAGTACATGGCAATGGCTGACAACAGGCAGAGAATAATGCCGATGCCTGATGACCGGTTGCCTCCCCGCGGCCAGCAATTAGCATACCCTGAGGCTGTCCTGCTTGTGGACCCAATTAATCCTAAACTCAGAGGGGAGGTAAGCTAATAGAGTCACAACAAGATTATCCATGATAAATATTTGACTTCATTCTGAATAACCTCTGCATTACTCATATGTCTGTCAAGGTCGACGACAAGTACCAATACTCGTGTGAAGACCGATACAATAGTGTCCATGGATGGGTGTCATCTGATCCTCCGATTGGCTTCTGGCAAATCACGCCCAGCGACGAGTTCCGTACTGGAGGACCTCTGAAGCAGAACTTGACATCTCATGTCGGGCCCACTATGCTCGCTGTAAGTTCAGACCTTAACAAAAATAACATTTACCCTGTTTTAGGGCTCATTCTTTTTACAGGATCTTCAAATCATAGGAATATGAAAAGTCATGTGCACTCCAATCCTTAGGAATTTTCCATGAGGTCTCACCTAATGCTAAGAATCCTTAAGAATTTTCCATGAGATCTCACGTAATGCTAAAAATCCGTAGGAATTAGGCCAATATAGGCGCAATCCTTAGGAATCTAGCACCTCTATTCCTATGAAACTAATGCTCATAGGAAAAAATCCTGTATAAATCCTCCAAACCGAATAAGCCCTTACTGTTTTTATTTTTATTGGATACTAATATGCAACAAGTTCTGAAAGGTCTCTTTATCTGGTCTTAGATGTTTCTTAGCGCTCATTATGCTGGAGATGACCTTTCGCCCAAGTTCACGAATGGAGAATATTGGAAAAAGGTTCATGGACCGGTGTTCATGTACCTTAACTCCAGTCAGGACGGATCAGACCCAAGTCTACTATGGGAGGATGCAAAAGTTCAGGTGATTATAGTTCAGCAAATAAGTAGTACTTTAGGGTACAATTCAATTTTCACACAACAAGAGAGCACTCCATAAGTTAGTATAATAATTTATCAAATGACAGCAATTATGGCAGAGTGACTTATATTTTGTATATTGTTATGAGCAGTACATAAGTAACTCGGTCGGCACTTGATGTCATCTTTAATGTTTGCCTTGGAAAATCAGGTGATGATGGAGAAACAGAGCTGGCCCTATGATTTTGCACTTTCAGAGGATTTCCAGAAGACTGAGCAAAGAGGTTGTATCTCTGGTAGATTGCTTGTAAGAGACAGGTAGTACATAATCTCCCAGTTATGTACGACTAGATAAGGTTCACAGTAATTTGAATTTTCAATTACCCTAGATCTAGTTCAAGCACCATACATATGCATATCTTACTACCACATATATGATCAGGTATATTATAGAGGATGAGGATCTTTATGCCGCATCAGCCTATGTAGGCTTAGCATTACCAGGAGAGGCTGGATCGTGGCAAAGAGAGTGCAAGGTACGTACCACATGCTTATAAGCTACAGTATAGCGTTACGACATGCTTATATGGCCTGTATTATTGTGGATAATGGAGTTTTTCCCTGACTTACAGGGGTACCAATTCTGGTGTCAAGCAGATGCAGATGGTAGCTTCTACATAAAGAACATTGTAACTGGAAACTACAACCTATATGCGTGGGTTCCGGGTTTCATCGGGGACTACAGATTCGACGCCACACTAACAATTTCTTCAGGTTAGCCTGGCTTAGTACTAGTTGCAGCCTGCCTCTAACTTGAATGACTGGTGTCCTGACAAGAAATTGCTGAGCAATGGTGTTCAGGGGACGATATCTATCTGGGTGACCTCGTGTTCGAGCCACCGAGAGACGGCCCTACCATGTGGGAGATCGGAATACCCGATAGGTCTGCTGCCGAGTTCTACGTTCCAGACCCCAACCCCAACTATGTCAACAGACTCTTCATCAATCATCCTGACAGGTGAAAGAAACCTTTGCGTCCAGCAGTTAATCATGCAGCTGTTTCTAATCATACGGTGTTACATACAGGTTCAGGCAGTATGGGCTTTGGGAGAGATACGCAGAGCTGTATCCGGACCGTGATCTGGTGTACACCATCGGCGAAAGCAACTACAGCACTGATTGGTTCTACGCTCAAGTTACCAGGTGATGTCTGTCTGTTGTTGGCTCACTCAGATATCATACAACTACCCTAAAAAAGGGATATCATACAAGTGTTTTTGCACTAACATCTTGCCTGATCCGTGCCTGTCTCAACTGAACTGCAGAAGAAGTGATGGGGATACGTACCAGCCCACCACATGGCAGATAAGGTTCAGCCTCGACGCCGTCCCTCCCAACAGCACGTACAAGTTCCGGGTGGCGCTCGCGTCTTCAGCCAACGCTGAACTGCAGGTTTCTGAATTGAATTTTCAGAACCAACCCCAACGTTTCGTTCGCTGATGCTCATGTTGGTTCTCTTTCTTATCATGGTCATCATCGCCATCCTGTTGCATGCATTTCCAGGTCCGTTTCAACGACGAGGCACGGGCTGTGCCTCACTTCACCACGGGGCTCATCGGGCGCGACAACGCGATCGCGAGGCACGGGATCCATGGCCTCTACTGGCTCTTCAACGTGGGTGTGAGTGGAGCCTGGCTTGTCCGAGGGATCAACACCATCTATCTGAAGCAGCCCAGGAACCAGAGCCCGTTCCAGGGGGTCATGTACGACTACCTGCGTCTGGAAGGACCCTGTGCTGTGCCTGCCGCTAACTCAGGCCCAAAAGCTAATTGATTAATCAGCCTGCCTTAGCCGTATTGTATTTGTGTAAGTGACACCTAGCTAGCTAGTACAGCTGTAATGTATATGATTCAGCAGAGCATCCATGTCCTAATTAATACCACGTCATGCATAATCTGTATATGCCTGTGTTCTCAACTCTGTTTACTACCGTGCTCGGTTTCTGGTGAAGTGTTTTGGTGCTGTAATATGCCAAAATCTCACCACAACTAGCCTACAATCCAGGGTGCATGTTACTGGAAAAATGAATGTATTCTAGTTTTGGATGTGCTTCTTCCTGGCGGGGAGGGAGTCATGAATGCAACTCGACGACATTCCTCGGCCACATGCGCGCCGATCGTCCTAGCCGTAGAGAAGGCCGTTTCAGGTCGTCCGGGTCCAGGTGTCAGGCCCCCCGCGCGCCACAACAGCCGCCCCATCCACCCTACTCCAGCCCGCGGGCCAATCGCGCCGCAGACCGTGATTTCCGAGATAAGGACGTGGCCCCCTCCCTCACTCCATTGGCGCGCGCTGCCTGGTATTTAACCTCCCTCCCTTGCCCCTCTCTTCCTCACGCAGCCATCAGTAGCAGCGGCAGCCGCACATCAGCAGCTTGCTCTGTTCCATCCGGCAGCAATGGCGGCCTCCACCACAATGGCGCTCTCCTCCCCCGCGATCAAGCTCGCCGGAGCCTCGTACGCGCTCGGCGGCGGCCGCGTCACCATGCGCAAGGCCGCGCCCAAGGCCGCCGCCTCCAACAGCCCCTGGTACGGCCCCGACCGCGTGCTCTACCTCGGCCCGCTCTCTGGCGAGCCCCCGAGCTACCTCAGCGGCGAGTTCCCGGGCGACTACGGGTGGGACACCGCGGGCCTCTCCGCCGACCCGGAGACCTTCGCCAAGAACCGCGAGCTCGAGGTGATCCACTGCCGCTGGGCCATGCTCGGCGCGCTCGGCTGCGTCTTCCCCGAGCTGCTCGCCCGCAACGGCGTCAAGTTCGGCGAGGCCGTCTGGTTCAAGGCCGGCTCCCAGATCTTCAGCGAGGGCGGCCTCGACTACCTCGGTAACCCTAGCTTGGTCCACGCTCAGAGCATCCTTGCCATCTGGGCTTGCCAGGTCGTGCTCATGGGCGCTGTCGAGGGGTACCGCGTTGCTGGTGGCCCGCTCGGAGAGATCGTCGACCCACTCTACCCCGGTGGCAGCTTCGACCCCCTTGGCCTAGCTGACGATCCAGAGGCGTTTGCCGAGCTCAAGGTGAAGGAGATCAAGAACGGCCGCCTTGCAATGTTCTCCATGTTTGGATACTTTGTGCAGGCCATCGTCACCGGTAAGGGTCCGCTTGAGAACCTCGCTGACCACCTCGCCGACCCCGTCAACAACAACGCGTGGGCCTTCGCCACCAACTTTGTGCCCGGCAAGTAAACACATGAGAATCGACTTCTCAGGAGTATATGTGTGCTCTGGATGTATGATTAATATCTGATCGTTGATGTTGTACACTATCAAAGATGTTTACAAATAGCGCCCATCTGGAACATGAAATGTCTATATGAGAAATGCATGGTTTTCATTTTCCATATGAATACGAGTGGACATTAATTGTTTGGGTTTGCTAAACATCAAGTACTTGATTTTTTTGGTGTCATTCACTTTCCGCTATGTGCGAGGCCGAAGGCGAAGACAACATGAGGAGCGGCGGCCACGCCAAGGCCAAGCCGTGGATAAGCAGGAGTCGTG